CAGTTCATAGCCACTTGCTACCTTCTGAGTGTTAATTCATCTCATGTTACGTCAGCAAAATGTCTGCTGTTATGATGATTGCCGTCATCTTCCAATTTCATAACTACAGTAGATAAAAGGTAAAACATTAGACCAACTTTTTCATAAATGGTTTTCTTGATGATACTTCAGATTCTTGAACAACAACAAGTTAAAGAATTTGTCTTCTGATCAACTTCCTTGCCGGAGTTACTAGTTTAACAACCTTACAAAACGGTAAGTGTGGTGGGTTTAGAATTCAATGACACTTTTTATTTTATACCCAACACAACTGGAAATAAATAGCCTCTAAAATGACAATGAAGAAATTCTGCAATTACAAGGACCTCCGATAGTTTTATGTATATGGTATGAAACAACACGATAGCTACATATCAGCTCCAACCCATGGAAAACTTGCCTGTTATCATTAAAATGATGCATCTTACAAAGTGCGCCTAACCTACATATGAAATAGCACCGACCTTCACTTCCAATTTCTTTAGTATGATAAGTTTCTCATCGCAGGTTCACTTGAAACTTTCTGAGGACACCAGAAACTAAGTTTTCCATATAATCCATCATCTTTCAAGCCATTCAGGGATATTTATTTATAAGTTGTGGTCTTTCTTTTAGGCCCAGAAACAAAATTACCATATTCAGAGGTTACAGTTATGCAGTCAGCAAATTTTCTGCTCTTAAAATGATTGCCTTCTTCTTCCAGTTCCGAATTAATGGTACTTTATAAGAAAACAAATTCAACGAACTTGTTACTAACTGTTTTTTTATGACATTGCAGATTCTTGAACATCAAAAATTCAACGAATGTTTCCTCTTATCTACTTACTCAATGGAAACACTGGTTTAGATTTCAAAATCTGTAAGTGTAGTGTGTTTGGAATCCAATTTCTCGTAAATATAACAACTCTGAAGCTCCAAAAAATTCAACAGGATATAAATCCCCTTCTCCAAAATGGCGCTAAAGAAAAACTACAATAACCACGACCTCTGGAAATTTTTGACTATAGTACTAATTGCACGATGATTCATGTCAGTTCCAAAGATTGGAAAAAACATTAAAGCATTGAAACTCAGAGCTCTACGACTTTTTATTTATAAAAACGAATGCAATGTCAAACACAGAACCCTGGACTTCAATAAACTGGAGGAGCTGCCAAGTGACATATTCAAGGCCCATAAGTTGTATGATCTGTGAGTAAAGTTCTCTGATAAATGAATACCTACTACTGGACTAACACAGTGTCTTCTAAATCAAAGGAACCTTCTTTTTCTGGTCAATTTATTCCCAATCTCATTCCAGACAACCGTAAATTTTTTCGATTTTTTAAAGCATTGAGACCGTACAAAAATTAAAAAAAATGGCGAACAGTAAGGGCTGAAAAGAATCAGTAAAAAATCAGTAAAAAGAAAACAAAAGAAGTAAATCCTTAGTGTAGGTTGCCCCAATCCTCCTCCTTCCACACGACCCAAAAAAGAACAAACTTCATTCATGAATAATTTGGATATATCAACAAAGTTGAAATGGTAAATTGGCCACCGTAACGATTACAAAAGCTGACGTTTGGAGCGTTAGCCCTTCGTACATTCGCTCCGACGAAGGGCTAACGCTCGAAACGTCAGCTTTTGTAATCGTTACGGTGGCCAATTTACCATTTCAACTTTGTTGATATATCCAAATTATTCATGAATGAAGTTTGTTCTTTTTTGGGTCGTGTGGAAGGAGGAGGATTGGGGCAACCTACACTAAGGATTTACTTCTTTTGTTTTCTTTTTACCGATTTTTTACTGATTCTTTTCAGCCCTTACTGTTCGCCATTTTTTTTAATTTTTGTACGGTCTCAATGCTTTAAAAAATCGAAAAAATTTACGGTTGTCTGGGATGAGATTGGGAATAAATTGACCAGAAAGAGAAGGTTCCTTTGATTTAGAAGACACTGTGTTAGTCCAAGTAGTAGGTATTCATTTATCAGAGAACTTTACTCACAGATCATACAACTTATGGGCCTTGAATATGTCACTTGGCAGCTCCTCCAGTTTATTGAAGTCCAGGGTTCTGTGTTTGACATTGCATTCGTTTTTATAAATAAAAAGTCGTAGAGCTCTGAGTTTCAATGCTTTAATGTTTTTTCCAATCTTTGGAACTGACATGAATCATCGTGCAATTAGTACTATAGACAAAAATTTCCAGAGGTCGTGGTTATTGTAGTTTTTCTTTAGCGCCATTTTGGAGAAGGGGATTTATATCCTGTTGAATTTTTTGGAACTTCAGAGTTGTTATATTTACGAGAAATTGGATTCCAAACACACTACACTTACAGATTTT